CAAAGTGCAGTTACATCCAATCCTGGGTGTTAAAAGCTATTTAAAAAACTGGCATTAAAATGATGTATTTCAAATTCATCAATTAAAATAGGCATGGTCCATGAGCTTCATTGAATGATTTTGATTAAAAATGAAATTCACTGCATTTATTAATTAAAATGTTGCTTTTCATCAATGAATTTGAGCAAAAAAATCAATTTTTTTGTCCGGTTCATCATCAGAAATGCCATTTTTTTCGTGTTTTTGGTATAGAGCCCTTCAATCATACACAGCCGATGTTGTATAAAATTAATTTTCGAGGTGATTACTCAATTGTTGATGGCCACCCTTTATTTCGAAAGATATTTATGAAAATAATGATTGATGATAAGCTACTTGTTGACAGCAAGCATTATCGGATATATAACGGCTATAACTGTAAATGAAATCAACTGGATTTCATCCTTGGGCTCATTGTCTGAGACAATTTATCTTCCTACAGGTATCCATATGGGCGATATTGAAATAAGAGCCACTAATATAATTAAAACTATTGGAGGTATCCTAAGCTAGGGTGATGGTGGGTGTGGGTGTAGGTTAGAAGGAGATTCACACATATCCTAATATTTTTCTTCAATTCGAAATGAAGATTTGTGAGTGACTACATAATCAATCAATATATGGCAGGTGAATAATTCCTATCAGGAGTCTTGAGGGTGGGGGTGTGGGTGAGAGTTTGTTTGAACAATATCTTATTAACCACACTCACACCCTTTCTTCGCAGCTATAATATTTCAAGTATTGGTAAACTTTAAAGAATGAATTCAAAGAATTTGAGTAAGGAAAGTATGATACAAGGCGTGGCCGAGGACAAGAAAATGATTCTCTATCATGCAGTAAAACTTTTGCATACACAAGTAGAAGTTGCCATTGACACGACATGAAATATCTGTGCAATCTCAAAATCGATATTTGCCGTTGGTGAAACTTTCAGATACATATGCTTCTAAAAGAGAGCATCCAAGAATATGTTAAAACTATTTGCCATAAAAAATGCACTCTCACTCTGATTTACTCTCATCACATGATAACTAGTCACAGAAGCAAGCGGTGAACTAATATCTTATGCGAATATCGGCAGATGTTCTTCACTGCGATGTAAGTGTGAAGAAACGACTTTCATTTGTATATTTGCGTGTCATTGACAGTGAGATGGCCTATTATTTATTAATATTGTTCCTTTGTATTAATTCATATGGATGGATAGCTGCTAATGTCAAAATCAATAACAACACGTCTGATTCACTTTGGTCCACAGATCAAGGCAATTCTCAAAATACTTATCACATTGAGCCATCTATGCCAACTAATTATTCACAGAAATCATGGATCTATGAATACAACTTAACGTCACAGGATCTCACTCAATTCGGTCTAGGTGCTGGTATTAATGGTGATATTTACTTTTTCCTGAGTCTATCAAGATCTCATACAGGTAAATTATTATACTTAATACGATGATAGATATTATTTTTTCTCCTCACAAAAATTGTTCGATCATATATCTAAGCACACAATCAAGGTCTAGCAAAATAACAAGATAATGCGTCATATTTTACCTCAAAGTGTCTTACAATATTTTGAGATTGTATTAATTTCAGAGGAAATTTTATATCAGAAAAACACTACCTTAAATTAATAACGCTAATATTTGTTGTTTGCAGCTGATTTTCTGATTTGTCTAACACCAAATGGTATTGTTCGCTGGAAGGTCTATCTTGAGCCCGTGCCAGACATGTTTCCAGTTGGTGTTTCCAACATTGTTTCCGATCTACAAGGAGTACTGTTCTATACTGTTTCATGGACAGGCGATGAATATTATACAGCGAAAATCTGTCGAATCACAGAAGCCCAAACACCGCATCCTATTCAAGAATGCACCGAAAACTATCAACTGTACAATGATATCATTACTCCATTGTCATTGAATGAAAAATATGATCTTTTGGTGACGGCTGTAACCGATGATGAATTTGAATCCGTACCAGCTGTTTTGAATAAAAAGACACTGGCTGTACAATGGATAAATAGGCATTTTTTCGGTGCTGGCATGAGTAGACACTATCGATGTGATATAAATACGGGTGATATATTATGGATAGGTGGCGATCGTAACCTATTGAAATTTAAGTACGATGGACAGAATCTTATCAACAATTATACACAACCTAATGATGATGGCATAGATTTTGTTTTAGACAAGCAAAAGCAAATAATTATACGACCATGGCAGAATATGACTGATTTACCATGGAAGTATGTTGTGTCATCGTATGATGTGTCAACACGAGAAATTAAACTGCGCTGGAATTGGCATCCACCTTCGTTGATTGTTGCAAACGATGATATGACAACACCTACTATAGACGACAATGGCATAGTTTATATGTCTAGCATGCCTCTCGTATTTGCTATCGACAATTTAGGAAAAACACTATGGACAAGTGAATTGGCAACACCGAGTGAAATGAAAACATTTCAATTAATTTCTTTTTGCATTGCAATGAATTTAAAACGACGTACTCTTTACATAGTATCTGGTTCCCCAATTTATCAAAAATCCAAATTTCTCTATTTCATCACTGCTGTCAATATGGATACTGGCAAAGTAATTAAACGTATTGATGTTAACGTAGGAAGTAAAAAATACATTACACCACAATGTCCGATCTTAATTGGTGATGAAATGTTCTACTTTGCATGGCTGACGGGGCAGTATCCAGAATCAGTGCCTTTCAAAATAACTGGCATGAAGCAAGTCTAAGCATCAGACAACGAAGTTGGACAAAACGGGTGTAGATGGGTGTCTTTAATATTTATTAACCAGACCCATATCTCAAGCTATTTTGATCTAATAACTAAAAATATTTGAAAATATATTCAAGTAAAGCAGATATTAAAAGAATCAAAAAGAAAATATTTTCTTTTCAATCAGTATCGAATATATTTGAATCAAATATAGTTTTTGAGTAAATAGTCGCTTATACGTAGTATTAACGAAACTCTTTTACTTAAGTATGAGCCAAATAAAGGCTGGTATGTCTAGAGTTGGAATCGAACAGCTTTTTCATGACCGATCCAGTCTCGTTGGTAATTTGTCGGTTCATTTTTCAGCGAATCTGGCAAAAATCCGACAAGTCTGCAAACAAAACATCACTTAATCATGTAAATCAGTGACTACATGAAATTTTCTACATCTACATCAGGAACCTCAAAGTAGCAATCAAAGATCAAGATTATCATCAGGAAAAAATCCAGGGTGTGAGTGTGAGTGTGGGTGTCGATGTGAGTGTGGGATGTGGATGTTGGGTGTGGGTGGGTGTGGAGTATGAGGTGGGGTGTGGGCGTGAATGGTGGCGTATGTATGATATTTTATTCACTCATACACGCATCCATACCCACAGCCACAGCCACACCCACCCTTTTACCTAGAGGTAAAAGGTATCCAAGAGACTTCCTGACAAATTTCATGATGATACTTGATGGAGATGGAGGTGGAAAGGAAAATGAGAGTCAGACCGCATGAGCAAGTGTGAAAGGCATAGTAATCTTCACTCTCCTGATCAACTTCGTCAAAATGACGATAAAACTGACTAATAAAGTTTATGCGTTGTTTTCAATGATACCAGATTAATTTTGTAAAGTTTTTTTGATAGATATGTCACTCCTTGTATGCTAGTTATATGCCAAAAAGACGAGGACAATTTATTGAATATTCGAATATCTAGACATATGACAATATTTCCATCTTCACTATAGCACCATTTGTCTGTAGTAAGTGATATATGTCTGAAAATTTGAGATAATAATTAGCAAATATAGAGAAGCATTTTCTGTAAAATTCAAGTCGATCAGTTGAACTTTCACGAGATTATGACTTACACAACGAAAGGAGACGATTGTTCCGTATATCGATGCTTTTAGTAAAAATGATCCTAACTCCACAACCGCTCCATGAATTTCAATAAAATTTTTATAATGGATAGCCAGAGTATAGAGCTACAAAATAAGAGAATCCGCGGCCCATAAAGTATTTTTTTTCCTAAGTTATGCAGTTCACAAAGGAAACAGATCACATGCATTATAACTCTCTATCATCTTATAGAGTTGAGACGTGAGTTTTGCTGTTGATCTACATTCATCCGCAACTCTATACATACAAGTTTTCAGAGCCACAACTCTTGTAGTGACTGAGATCCAAGGGAAGATATTTTGTTCAGTAGTGGAGACAGTGCAAGATGAACAGTTTTGTAGAGGATGAGGGTGAGGATCAATGAGTGGATGTGAGACTAAGCCTAAGACATTCAAAATTTAATTTTTTCTATTTTTAATCTAAATTTTCTAAGTGTTTGGTCAGAATCTTTATTAAAAATGAGCACACGGATTTTCTTGCTGAGCTGGGTGAAATATACTTGAGATAAATGAGATACGAAGAAAATGACAAAGAAAGCTTTTCAAGCACTATCAAACAAAGAGATCTACTTCACAGACGGTACGCTTTCAGAAGATACCTATGTTGATGGGGGTGTGAGTGTGAGTGTGGTGAGTGTAGGTGTGGGTATAAATGGCGTTTATATTTGCATCCACACCCACACCCACACCATCCACAATTATTTAAACTTAATTTTATGCGAATAAAATGTTAAGTAGAAAAACATTAACTCCATATTAAATATTCAGTGATTTGTTAACACATAGTATGAAAAAAATTCTCTAGTTATTACTGATCTTGTTCTTGTTAACATTATATATTAAATAAAGTCAGTTGATACTTAATTTAATGAAGCCGTATTTATTGGCTAATGTCTATGAAGAACTAAAACAAATACTGAAATCAACTAGCATTTTTGAAAAGTAATTTTTATTATTTCTCAAAAAAAAACATTTCAACTATTAAAGTGCGTGTGGGATACAAGAAGACCCATGTTAAAACTCCTACTCCCTCACTCACATCCACATCTTTATGCAACGATGTTAGTACCAGGTATCGCGGTACCAGCTCTCATGAATACGGTTCCCATTTTTTTGTAGACCATTCGATTACCATTGACATTTAAATGATAAGTTCCCGAACCTCTTTCTTCAGTCATCTTGATCATTTTGATAGCGTCAGCGTGAACTTGATTATCCACGGCTGCATATTGAATAACCGGATGATTGGATGGCGTGCCTGCCGAAGTGGAACTATTGGTCTGTTCGTGAGGTAGTGGAGGCGCACTGGAATGACGCATATAGACAGTACCCACACGATCGTAACGGATGGGAGCGGTAAGACCAGGAAACGATACTTGATAAATACCTTGTCCAACATTATTGACTTCAGAGACGATGGTCACGCTTGCTGGATCGACTTCATAATCGAAAGCTACTAAGCGTATCAAATCGCTTGAACCGCCCATACCACGAAAACAATTACCCATTGTTGAAATGGATTTTAGTGCTGAACACTTAAATTACGGTACACACTTTCTCTCTGAATCTTGAACAGAAAAAAAGAGGAAAAGTGTTTTGATTCCCGTTTCTGACCTGAAAGAATGAATTTTATGATGAAAACGGCGGCATAGTTGCCTATCTATCAAACATGAAGCAAGATAAAAGAAATGGCCTTGGATTGTTGAGTGAATTTTTCTCGTCACACATCTGTCGGCACAATGATATACTAGTATCACTGGTTCTTATCTCTAAGCAGACACGTTTCTCACGTGTTACAAGAATGAAAAAAACCTTCTATTCTAAAAAATATTTGTTATATCTTTATCACTGCATTGTGCAATTCATGTTTGCTCGTCTGATATTTCAGCAAGGTATGATAATGTTAGGCCATTTGCGCACATTCTAGTATTGTCAACAGTGAGATAGATATTATGTGAAGTGACTGATAGAGCACGATAATAAAGCAAAGTTGGTTGTTAAACAAAACAAAATCTCAAATATTATGAGGTAATATGAGAGAGATAACGTGTGAATGGCTATTCGCTACAACGACTAATACGAATGGTGACTATTGACAGCGAACGATTTGAAAAAGCACGAGAAGCATAAAACTGCGTGATTGATACATGATTATGTTCTATTTAACTGCTTTCTTACATAAACTAAATTAGACAATTATTTTCTTCAAATTCCGAATCTCTCTGATATATATTTGCTATGAAGTTGATAATTTACAAAGTCAGTTCTCGTTATATTTTCTCTTTTAGTATTCATTATATTGTTTTATAACAAGATTTAACTGACATATCGCATATATAGTATTCGTCAGAAATAAACTTGGATCTATGAGTCTATTGAGTATTCGAGTGTGTGAAATGTGGGTGAGCACAAACATATCCAGCCACACCCACGACTGCATTTTAGAGTAAATCAAGAAGAAAAAAGTGAAAAAAGACTCAAAAAGAACTTTTCAGTGATTTACTGGTTCTCAAAAGTGATTGATGGTGGGGCGTGGGTGTGGGTGTGGATGTTCGTGTGTATGTGTGCGTATAAGGTTCTTTTCACGCATACGAGTATTCACCCTCTCACATTCACACCCCCCACCCACACTCACACCCTTCTGTTTACGAACACCTGACAGCTGCACTCACATCCTCACTCTGTGGTGTTAATACAACAACAAATCATACGTATATCCCGTTTATTATATCTCTATCAATAAAAAGCCAAATATTATATTTGCTTTTCATGAATGATTCCACTTTAGATTAACAATAGCTTTAACTTGGGCAAGCTATATAATTATTAATTAACACTAGAATATTTATTATCTGTCAAAGTTTTCATACTTCTCAGACTATCTGAATATATGAATCAATATTTAAGGGGGCTCCTTCAGAATCGCTTTCCCACTTGGGATAGTCCATTTGGACTGAAATTTTCAGGGATACGTGATCCTGGTGATATACGCTTCTGGTAAAAATTCCAGCTCTATAAATCATAGTAGACTGGATTTCCAACTAATCTATCACTCATTTTTGGAATCCTTATAATTGGCTAGTATTTATTTGAGCAATAAAAATATTGGAATGAGCAATAATTAAAATACGATTTAGCAATAATTTGTAAGCAATAAAAAAACTCTATTTGAATAATTTTATATTATAAAATGTACAAAAATTAATTCATTAAATAGCAGTAGTAATTTCATATTTTAGCAATAAAAAAAGAAAAATTACATTAGTTTTGGTTACAAGTGAAAATAAAAAATAAAAATGAAAAATATAGTATATTATTGTGCCAATAAAGCTTTTTTTGTTTTAATTTATCTGCCTCTTTTTCTCACATATTTGTATAAATAAGTGTGTTAGATCCGTAACATATTCTTGTGTATATGCTGTGTATTTCCAAAAAATAAGAGCCTCCCTTTTATCACATACATATACATATACATATACATCTGAGATGACGGAATATACCAGCAATAGATATAATATGAATGGAATATGCCTGAAGGATCATAGGAAATGAAGCAATGAAGAATCCTAGAGAAAGCAATATGAAAATGTACTTGACAGTAGGGAGTTGCACTGGATTTTCTAGATCCGATCAATGGATCGTGAGCCATTCTATCATCTCGAATAGTGAAGTGTTATTCGAATACATATTTTGTAGAGCAATGCTTGCTCTTTCAGACTATATGATTAGAACTGTACAAGAGCCATTCATAGTCGAAAATTTTTAAATAAAAAGATCCGAGTCTATATTCGGACCCGGTCAGACCCGAAACTATGGATCTGGATCTTTTTATTTAAAAATTTTCGACTATGAATGGCTTTTGTACCGTTCTAATCATACAGTCTGAAAGAGCGAACATAGCTCTACAAAATGTGTATTCGAGACGATAGAATGGCTCACGATCCGTTGGTCGGATCCAGTAAATTCGGTGCAACTCCCTACCTGCCAGACAGAAAGGTAACGAAAGACGTAGATATATATGTATAGCAAGAAAGACAGAGACCGAAAACACACATGTATAGTATAACACAACTCTTTCTGATAGCACATCTTTGAAATGTACCATAACAAAGTCAATTCGTATTGCTCCTTTTCTATAAAAATTATCTTTAATTTAACCCATTCGCGGCGATATGAATATTGCTTTCTCATAATTCGTGAAAGGTTTCATTTCTTCATTTGTAGCAAATATTGTACTTCAAAACAACTTTTATCGATGTTTCTCTTATCAATATGAGCTATGAACATTCCTCTATCAAGGGTAAAAAAATCAGCTCCTTTGGTCAAAGGATAGCACAAATATTCAATTTTTTCTACAATAAACGAGTTTTTGGACCACCCTATAGTGAGGCCCACCGGTGGGCCCCATCGACGCGAAAGGGTTAAGTGAATTATTGCTCATTCAATATAATTATTACCCATTCAGTTTATTTATTGCCAAATTTCATTATTGTTTGTTTAAATTAGTTTATTGCTCAATTAAATATAATTCTTTTGAAAAATGACTTTTGCATCAAGATGTGCATGCTGAATAGAAATTTCTACTGATAAATTATGAATAGATATTAGTTCAAAAAGTCAACTATAACTCATTGTTCAACAGGTTCAATTCGTAAAAGAACATCTCCAGCAGCCACCAACTGACCAGTATGGCACAACACCGAACACACGCGACCAGCAATTGGAGAACGAACAGTAAGTTCCATTTTCATCGCTTCGAGTGTGATAACGGGTGCGTTCATTTCCACCATCCCCTCTTCTTCCACCAGTATTTTCCATACACTACCACAAATATCAGCAATCACGTTTACTTGTCCATCAATGACTTGCTGAGTCTCTGCGATGTCATGACCGTTCGTTACAGTGTATTTTCTGTCGCGAGAATCATCGAGTTGCCAGTGTGACACTTCTTCGGCGAAGGCAGCTGCTTGCTTTGCAGTAAAATTGGCAATACTTTCCGATTCACGTTTGAGGAAGGCGTTGTATTCACCTAAATTGAATACATTGTCTTGAACGATACGCACGCTCAAACGTCCTTGACGAAATGCATCACGCTGGATGGAAAGTTCCTTCTCTTCAACAGGATAGAAACGAACTTGGTCAAAGAAACGAAGGAGCCACGGATGACCATCTTCAAAAGCTGTATTATTGACAAATGTGTTCCAGATAGGCAATGTACGGCCAATCAATTGATAACCACCTGGTGAATCCATACCGTAAATACACATGTAAACTCCACCGATGCCTACGGTACCTTCAGCAGTAAATGTGCGCGCTGGATTATATTTGGAAGTAAGTAGTCGATGACGTGGATCGATCGGTACTGCACAGGGTGCTCCAAGGTAAACGTCACCGAGACCGAGTACCAGATACGAAGCGTCGAACACAATCCGTCGTACATCATCTCTTGAAGGGAGTCCATTAATACGCTGGATGAAGTCGACATTATTAGGCAGCCAGGGTGCCGATTCTTTCACCGTCTCTCGATAACGCTTCACAGCATCGAGTGTAGCTGAGTCTTCAATAGCAAGTGGCAAATAGACAATGCGACTCTTGACGCATATATCACTCTCTTCAGTGGGCAAACGATCTTCAGCAGCAAGCAATGCGACTATGAGTTGCTGTTGATGAATCACTCGACTGTCGTATCGGATTTGAAGTGAACGAACACCAGGTGCTAACTCTAGTATACCATTAACTGGATGATGATCACGTAATTCTTCCATCAGTAGATGGACACGAAATCGATAACGTAGATCAAGCTGCATGGCACCATATTCAATGAGAATGTAATGATCACCTGCTTGTCGATAGACGACTGTTGGTCGTGTAGCTGTTTCTGGTAGTTGAGCAAGTATACATTCGAATGTTGTGGATGCAGATGATGATAATAGTGATAATGGAATATAAGTAGTGGACGATGTCAATGTTGCCAACGATTTGTCTTGATCATGTTCCATTGTCAATGCTTGGTCAAAAGTAATCGGGAAAAAACGAATTCGATCATTAGGCTTCATTTGACCAATTTTCCAAAGTTCTGCTTTGGCAATCGTCACTGGACAAACAAAGCCGCCTAAACTCGGTCCGTCTTGAGTAAGAATGATGGGTGTATCGCCAGTAAAGTTAATACTACCCACAGCATATTCACAGTCATGAATGTTAGAAGGATGCAGACCTGCTTCACCACCATTCGATCGAGACCAAGTTGGCTTGGGTCCTAACAAACGCACGCCGAGACGATTCGAGTTATGATGTACTTGCCAAATAGTAGCAAAAAATTGATCAATATAGTCAGACATAAAAAAATCGGGTGCACCATGTGGTCCATACAACACACCCACCTGCCATTCCTCGTCTTCTGCTGGATAATGAGGAATGAGAGCATCTGATATGCTAGATGGTATTGAGTCACTAATACATTTATCAATAAAAAGCATATCACCGGATTTTAGTATCCGTCCTGCGTAGCCACCGAATTTTCCGAGAACAAATGTCGAGCGACTGTCGAGGTAGATGGGTACATCGAAGCCGCCTCGAACAGCGATATACGTGCGGCAGCCGGATGTAGACCGCTCTAGTTTTAATATTTGACCAGCTTGCACAGGTATTGGTTTCCACGAGTCGACGGATGTGCCATCTAACACTGCGTTCATTGTTGCGCCGGTAATAGCAATGATGGTAGAGATGTGAAAGCGCAATGATGGTCCTACAAGTGTACATTCAAGTCCTGCGGCATTCTCGGCGTTGCCGACTAAACGATTAGCCAAACGAAAAGCATAGTCATCCATGGGACCTGATGGTGGCACACCCGCGTCCCAATGACCAACACGACCGGGATAGTCTTGGATAGTTGTGTAGGTTCCTGCTGTTAACACTTCTACAGCATTTGGTTGATACTGGAAGAAGACGGTTAGAGTTTTGAGAGAAATGTCTGCACGGATAAATAATGATGAGGCAATCAGTTGACGAAGAAAGTTCAGATTCGTACTGATACCGATAAGGCAAACTCGTGCCAGAGCATGATGCAGACGTTCAATAGCTTCGTTACGATCAGCACCATGCACAATCAACTTGGCCAGCAACGAGTCGTAGAAAGGCGAGATCTCGATACCACTGGAGATCCAAGTATCGACGCGAACATCGGTCGGAAATACTACCTGGCTAAGTGTGCCAGATGATGGATGGAAGTTACGTAAAGGATCTTCACTACAAATTCGCACTTCAATGGCTACTCCTTCTGGCGTCGGTGGACTATAGAGAGCACGTGGCGGTTCTTCAGCGGCTAAACTAACCATCCACTCGATAAGATCGATGCCATGTGTCGCCTCGGTTACTGGATGTTCCACCTAAAACAAGAATAGGTGTATTTGCAATTTATTACCGATAGCATCTTAACTTTCTGAGGATGAAGATGAAGAGAAGAACCTTACTGTTATCTTCGTCCTCATCCTCATCCTCACTCTCACTCAATTGTTAATTACCTGTAAGCGACAGTTCACTTCAAGAAAGTAGAATTCATTACATGTACGATCGTAAACGAATTCAACGGTGCCTGCTGAACGATATTTTACCGACGTGCCTAGTCGAATAGCCGCATCTCGAAGACGAGCACGTACATTATCGGATAGATTAGGTGGTGGTGTTTCCTCAACGATCTTCTGATGACGACGTTGCAAAGAACAGTCCCGTTCATTAAGTGCTATCACATGACCATGTCCGTCACCAAATATTTGCACTTCAATGTGACGGGCATCATCGATGCAGTGTTCGAGATAAACACCATCATCGCTATAGAGTTTTGCAGCTGCACGTTTTACTTTTGAAAACACATCGACCAGATGATTTTCATCATTGCATCGCTCCATTGCCATACCACCTGACCCGGCTGTACTTTTCAGCATAACTGGGTAGCCAATAGTTTGCGCTTTTAGCTTGGCCTCTTCAACATCAGCGAGTAATTCGGAATGAGGTAGAAGCGGTAAATCGGCATTGGCTGCTGCCTCATATGCAATATGCTTGAGACCGAATTGACGAAGTTGTTCTGGTGTGGGTCCAATGAAACAAATACCAGCAGCTTCGCATTGAACAGCAAAATCGACATTTTCGGAAAGAAATCCATAACCAGGAATAATTGCTTCAACATTCTGCGATTTTGCCGTAGCAATAATCAAATCACCACGAAGATAGGTTTCAGCAGGCGTGTTGCCTTTAAGTGCAACAGCAGAATCAGCTGCAGTCACATGTGCCGAATAGCGATCAACTTCGGAATATATGGCGACGCTGCGAATGCCCATGCTACGAAGAGTACGAGCGATACGTACTGCAATCTCACCTCGATTGGCAATTAAAACCGATTTGAACATCGGTTCATTTGAAGATACAGAAAGATTGTCAACTTGTCCCATGTTACCTATAATAGTGTTTGCCTATATTTTATGTGTACAATTAGTGGCTCGAAGAGTACAAATGAATATAATTCCTCTGAGAAATAATTTCTACTATCTGAAGGATAGGGTAAGGTGAGGCGAAAGTCATTATCAATCCTCGTTCTTATGTGAATGGAATGTTTTAAAATTTTCAATATCATTGATTTTAACAGCTCTGCACCTAACAATAATCGACATTACCCATTTGTCTTGAAAACGACAGATCTCTAAAAGTTAGTGTTCTTGAAGTATTCAATATATATTTTCCTACTTTGAAAGATCGAAGATAATATTCTTGATTATATTTTATGTGTTTATAATCGTCGTAATGTAAAAATCTGAAATATATGAAAACTATCAAGTGAAAATGTCAACATTGAATAGTACGATATATCAACTGTAAGAACAAACATGTGTATTACTCCAACTGTGATTTTTATTTTCGCCGTGATCAATGCGATAATAGAGAGTGTTCAATAGAGCACAGAAAGAAGAGAAGAGAAGATTGTGATTAGTTAAAAGATAGAAAAGCTTATGTAGAATTTGTGGAGATAACTGCGAAAATATTTTATAGAAATATAGGACTTCCACAGAACAGTAGTCTTAGTCTGTATTTATCCATTGTTTTTCATTCAGATCTGACAAATTATCTGAGAGCTCATTAAGACTATCTATTTGCAGATGATCTGTGTGTATTAATTAGATCTCCCATAATCAAGAACTTAGCTCCGATGATTGAATATTTAGAAAAAGAAGGTATACGAGTTTGTAATCAAGCTTTTACATGCTCAAAACAGTTGAAACAACCGATAAATGTTTCGAAAACGGTATTTCATACACAAGTAAAAAAACCAATAGTAAACGTAACAATGAATGAGAAAAATATCAAATTAGTCAAAGAATTTAAATACCCAGGATTAACTTGGACGGATAGACTATCGTTTAAACCGACAGCTGAAAAGACTATAGGAAATATTCAAAGATCACTAGAAAAATTGAAGCAGTTGAAATCAGAGCGTAACATGCCATGTAAGACCCTTCGTCAATGCTTCTTTGCTTACACTTTTCCTCATTTTGCGTGGCTATTCCGCTTGTACTCTCTTCTCGTGGAATCTCAACAACATATACTGTAACAAAAATTCCGAGTATGACTTCGGCTGGTGCATTGCTGTCCGTTCGTTTTTGCATACAATTTGTTCAATTTCACTTCTGAATACTCTCTCTCGAATTTTATGTTAAAAAATATGTTCAACGAAGATTAAAAACCATATTTATGCCTGATCTAGGTTCCTCACTATTCTATGATGATATCTTCGTTGGGGACAATTTTCGTAAAAGCAAAAACGATTAGCTTGGCCATTGTTTTTTGCTCACGTCGTGTGTGACAATTGATACATCGGCATGAATCATTTCTTTTGAAGTGGCTGTCTTTTATGAGAGGATCCATGCGGCGGTCGAGTATACGAGGCACTCGATAAAATTTTTTTTTGATTTTTCTTGATCATTCAACGCATCAATGTCTAAAACCGCCAAACACAAAATTTTAGCTTCTAATATCTTTCCTTTGAAAAATTAGTCAATACCGACTTTTGCCACTATCACACCTTTTCGAGAAAAAAAAACGAAAAAAATACTCTATAAAGACTGTACCAGCTTGCATTTCAACGCATTATTGAAATTTTTTATGGTATGTATCAAAAGATGGAGAATTAAAAACTGAACAAAATGAGCTACATGGATCTAATATAATGTCTATTAACTCAAGTTTTATAAAGTTAACATGAGTTAAAGGAGGCTCTTTTAATCAATCCAAATATAACAATGTATCTGCTGCGGTGTTTCAGAGTCAAGAGGACCTAAGCTGAGTTTTACATATGTTATGCAGCCTTTTCTTCTCTACAAAATGTTTAAAAAATATTCGAAAAAAAAATGGTAGACTCGATGCAAAACGGGGCTTGTACATTGTAATTTTTTATGACTTTTAAGGGTTTTTTAATAGAAAATGAGCATTTTTAGCGGTATTCATTGGTATGACAAAATGTTAAAGCAAAATACATATGATATTCTGAATCACCATCTAAAACTGTATCTAATCATATACTTTTCAGCAAAAATTTTTTCCAGTTCAAAACTAGCCTGTGCGAGACCACGAAGAAAAATTTCTCTTAAATATAGCTGTGGGGAACCACAGGCTAGTTTTGAACTGGAAAAAAATTTCGCTGAAAAGTATATGATTAGATACAGTTTTAGATGGTGATTCAGAATATCATATGTATTTTGCTTTAACATTTTGTCATACCAATGAATACTGCTAAAAATGCTCATTTTCTATTAAAAAACCCTTAAAAGTCATAAAAAATTACAATGTACAAGCCCCGTTTTGCATCGAGTCTACCATTTTTTTTTCGAATATTTTTTAAACATTTTGTAGAGAAGAAAAGGTTGCATAACATATGTAAAACTCAGCTTAGGTCCTCTTGACTCTGAAACACCGCAGCAGATACATTGTTATATTTGGATTGATTAAAAGAGCCTCCTTTAACTCATGTTAACTTTATAAAACTTGAGTTAATAGACATTATATTAGATCCATGTAGCTCATTTTGTTCAGTTTTTAATTCTCCATCTTTTGATACATACCATAAAAAATTTCAATAATGCGTTGAAATGCAAGCTGGTACAGTCTTTATAGAGTATTTTTTTCGTTTTTTTTTCTCGAAAAGGTGTGATAGTGGCAAAAGTCGGTATTGACTAATTTTTCAAAGGAAAGATATTAGAAGCTAAAATTTTGTGTTTGGCGGTTTTAGACATTGATGCGTTGAATGAACAAGAAAAATCAAAAAAAAAAAAATTTTATCGAGTGCTTCGTATATTGGACTGATACTCGATCAGCTCATGAACTCTCTCTTATTGATGCGAATTGATACCATCCCATGTCGTGCGTTTCTTTTCAATACCGTCGGCATACCGCGGTAGTAGGAAGAACCGGCGGTATGCCGTCATCGTACCGTCGGTAGTACCCTCAACATCTGGTTCCAGATCTAAATTTTTGCAGAGAGCATTTCCTGCTCAAATTCGAATTTATCATTAGAAAGAATTCAAAATTATGGAGAAAAAAAATATTTTCACAATTTTTTCAGTAATAATGATATTTGCAACGCCATCTATAATGAAAAATTAATCTCAGCACTGGGACTGATTTGGGCTCTGTGGCCAGTACAGGCGGCTCAGGCGCATCAATATTATCTGAGGACACCGATTCTCATGAAATTTTGACGGTTTTATCAGACTCAAAAATTATTCAGCCGTCTCGGTGCAGTATAACACGATGCACTATTTTCCGAAAAAACTGGCGGTATACCGGCGGTTCTTTTCCAGTTCAAATCACATGGGACAGAAATAAGCAAAAATGTAATGCTTTATTTAATTTTCTGTTTTACTTTTGTCTTTTCTTTCATTTCTTTTTTTTCTTTATTCTGTGTCTTTCTCTTTCATTCTTTCTTGTTGCCTTTTGTTTGTGTCTATCTTTCTTTTTTCTAGTTGCTCCCTCTATTCCTCTCTTTTTACTCTCTCCATTATACTTTGCCTATCCTTTCATTTGCCTTCTCAATATCCATGCAAGTGTCAATCGGTACTCATCATATCATATTGGTGGTATACAGTATAACGCTTTGTTTTAATGATGCAGCTTTTCGCTCAAACATCTCTATTTCATTCTTTTATCATGTAAGCACTTACAAGTGTTACATACACGAGCATAATTTAAAAAAAGGAAGATTGTGATGATCGATGATCGTCACATTGGCCATTATCCGTAGATATTGAATGACTTAACATTTATGATTTCATGCAGTCCCAATGAAAATTATCTTGCTAGAAAAAAAGTAGAACTCCGACCTGAGACAAAATCTGTCTTCGAAGGTATTGTGAAAAAGCTATTTTAGTAAAAAACAGTAAGAATCTTATGTTGTTTCTATCTCCCTCCTCCAAACGCTGTGTTTTCTATCGTATGAATTCTTTTCGTTGTCACATTGTGCCAAACGTGCATGCACATGAAGCAAAATGATAAACACAAAAGAATGATAGAGATAAAAAACAGAACGACGGAGTGTCTAAACAGAGATAGAGAGATCCTTGTGTTTTAACTGATAAAGTAATTCATAAAAATATGGGGTTGACGAGTCTGATCAGATATCCCGTTGACATTTTTTTCTATTGTAAGGACAAAACGTACTATCGTTCGGGTCGTATGAGAAGGT